CCCGGCCAGGCAGTTAATGAGCTCCGCCAGCCGGGTCTCCGGATACTGGCTGAGGAGGTCTCCGTAGAGCACCTGCCGCACGCCCCCCACGTTGACAACGATCTCGATGTCCTCGCCGGTCGCCGCCGAGCCCTGGCTGTCCGGCTCCGCCAAGCTGCGCTCCCCGGCCCCTTCCATGCTCCCGCACGAGCGTTCCCGGCCCCAGCTGCGCGCGCCCCGCCGCCTGCGCGGGCTCCGGAGGGTCCCTTGGTCCGCGGCCCCCGGGGAGCCTTGAAGGGCGCTCACAGAGAGCAGCAGCGGGCCGGGGCGTGCGGCGGAGGCGGGGGAGGCGGCGGCTGCATGCGCCCGGCAGCCGAGATCCGCGCGCGCATCCGTGCGCCCAGGGCGCGCAAGCAGGGGCTGGGGGGGAGTGGCCTCGCCTGGGGCACTCACCGGCTCTGGGGCGGCGCGATCTGCGGCTTCAGCTCGGCCTCCTGTAGCAGCAGCGGGAGCAGTATGCGGGGAGTGGGGGTCTCCGCGTGGGTCGAGAGCACCTTCCTCTTCCCAGAGCGCGAGTGCGGTCGCCGGACCTACGCTGTGCGCGGAGGTGCGCGGAGAGGCAACTTGCGCTCGCTCTGCCCGACCGGGTCCAAGCACAATAGGAATTCCAGCTTGACGTCAGGAGCTTTCCTCGGTCCCCTCTTCTGGCGAGATTCCGCACGGCACGCGCGGCGGCGGCGGAGCCACCAGTTAACCCTTGGGCAGACGGGTTGGCTCCAACTCCAGCCCGCGCCGCCTCGTGCCCCGGGCCACCCAGGCAGGAGCCAGGACCCTGGGCTGGAAAGCAGCAGGCTGCTCAGCCTGCAAAGTCCCCTGTCGCCGGCTGTTGGAGCGGTTGGTGGCCGGGGAAAGGACTCCGCAGCCTGTTGCGCGACAGGAAGGGAGCTCCGCTCGCCCCTCGCCGAAGCCACCTCGCTCCCTTCCCCGGCCCAGACCCCGCCGCCCGCTCTGGGGTCACCTCCACCCTTGACTTCTAGTCCAGCCTCTTCCCAGGCCCCACCGCACAGGCGGCCTCCCCTTAACCCAGGGCCTTGCTGTCGCCCTGCCTTCTGACCAGGTCCTCCAGTCCAGCGGTTTAAATTTTGCCTGGACTCCTCGCTGGCCTTCCTCTTTCCCCAGAGCCCGGGGCGCAGCCACTAGGCAGGGGGAACAGGCAGCGCCTGAGGTTTTTCTGCCGTGAGACTCCTCTGGACACCCTTGCGGCAGACACATGCTGTCCACTTCCAACCCCACAGAATACGCATAGTGCGGGGACAGGGTCACACTGTGTCAGATGTGGACACAGGGCCCTGCTTGGTAACAAGTGGCCCCTTGGTGGGGGTGTGGATGGGAGAAGGCTGTAGAAATGGGGTCTGGGAAGCACTGCTTTAGTTTGTAACCCTAAAACTTCTCTTATTTTTTTAAAGACGAGGTGTTGCTATGTAGTTCAGGCTGGCCTTAAACTTGTGTCAAACCTGCCTCAGCCTCCCAAGGGCTGGGATTATAGGCATTCACCAGCATGCCTGGCATGCTCTTAATTTTCTAAGGCTATTAAAAATTTTGGTCAATCTGGTGTTTTTTAACCTAAGGTCATGCCCATTAGTGAAAGTGATTTACTGGGCTCCAAATGGTATTTTTTTCTTTAATGAGATACTATGAAACTGACTATATTAGAATACATCACACAAAATAAGTATTGTGTGGTGAAACTTCATTTTACAAATTATATTTCATTTCTATTTAGAATCAACCTACAACAAGCTACTCCAGACCTGGAAGCTGGGGCTCCGAGAGGTCGGATAATAAATGTTAACATTGTTAGTATGAGGTACTGTGCACCAAACACCCTCCGAGTGCTTGGAGTTTTTCTCACTGAGTCCCCACAGCGGCTCTCAGAGGACAGGCTCTGGGGCCTGTTTTCTGGGGTGCAGTGCTAGGGGCCACCCCACACCCACCCCGCCTGTCTTCCAAGCCTTCCTCTCACCACACCCTTTTCCCTTATCTTTGCTGCTCTCACAGGGCTCAACCCAAATTGCATCTGAGCTTAATGGGTTTAAAAAGCCATGCATTCAATTGCGTGCTCAAATATTTATTGCACTGCTATGGCTCACAGGCCACACCCCACCTGGACGTGGACAGAGCTGGTCCTCTATGGAATAATACACCCGCACCGGGCAATCAGCGCTCACAGCGAGACCACTAGCTGAGGAGGGAAGTGGCCCCATGTCCTTAGTCCCTGGGGGGGTGGGTGGAGGCTGAGGGCTACCATCTGGCTCACCGCATGGAGATGTGCACTGGTGCCTGGTGGAGACCCTTAGCCCCTTGGTACCCTCACTCCTGGGTGCTTGCAGACCCCTCCCCAGGCCAGGGAGACCGCTGCGATAAATCAGTACCCAGGTGTCTCCCCCGGAGGTGCCTGGGTGCTGACACATCATGTCAAGGCCCGGGAGAGACTCCTCCATTACACTCGTGTCCTGCAAGAACAGCACAGGCCAGAGCGGGAGCAAGGGGAAACCGAGGCATTGCTGTTCCTGGGGAATACGGGAGGGGCAGCACGAGCAGCTCGACTGGCGCGTTAGTCTTGCTTGTGGCTCTGGGTGGCAGCAGTGGCCTCCGGTGGCTCGGTAGCCAGGCTGGGGTCACTGACGGCCCGGGAACCTGGCCCAACTGGTGGGGTTTGACGCAGGCACAAGGGCTGGGGTGGAAGGGCGCACAGGAGACAGGCCACACCCTCTGCTGTCTGAGACTGGGCCACCCCAGCAGGGGCGGTCTCTCCGCAGATGCCCAAGCATCAGGAATACCAAAAATAAAGAAATCTGCTAATGCGGTACTGGCAAATCTTGACTCCAAGGAAATATGGTTAGGACAGCTGGAGACGCGGCCTGCCGGGAGCTGGGGCTTGATGGAGGCTGCAGGCCAAGGGCCGTTTGCCTGCCGTAGAGAGGACAGAACCCACGGCCTGGGTCGAAAGCCCACAGAGCAGACGGCCAAAGGCCCTGGGCAGCTGGGAGCACAGCCCATGTGACTGTGGTGACCCAGGGCACTGTGGGAATTTGATCAGAAGTGGAAG